ATACAAGTTCTACAAGCAAAGTTTACATTCAGTAGAAATGGTTACATTCACTTGAGTAGCACCACTAGCATGGTAAAACCAACCATCACTATGGATGTCAACATCATGAATTTCATAGCTTCAAGTCGTTCTCGTTGGTTTGCGTCAAGTTGTTCCAAGATATTCAAAACTTCATTGTTTTTCTCAAAATCATAATCATACCCGCTCTCATCTTCATTCTTCATATGAATAGCTTTACTTCTCCTTTGGATATTTGATGCATTCCCAGTAGGAGCCACTCTCCATGCAAAGTAGTCACAAATATTATTTGCACACTTGAAATACAACCTCCCTGGATTTTTCTCTTATTCTGATATGTACACTCCTGTTTTTTCCCCACATTTGTATCGTTTATTTTGCAAGAATCAAGCATCATTGTTTGAACCCATTGACATTTTAATCCTAATTACAAGTAAACACAAAAGTCAATTTCAGATGTAACCATAGAACCTTAATCTAAGCAGCTAATTAAGCATGTAAAAAATTAAATAGTTATGACCACAATAATTATCTATCTTTATGAGCAAATGTAAATCGCTTGAAGTAATGCATGGTGTTGTGTTCTAGGCCTAGTGGGCAGCTATGCATCAAAACATTGGAGATTTACATTGGAGTCGAAATAGCCTCATTTTCCTTACCCAGTATAATAGTTGTTGTACTACTATTGTAGTTCTTGAGTCTTGGTATTTTTGTTGTCTATTACAGCTCAATGGAGGGACAAACTTACTCAACTCAGGTCCAAGAGGAATTGGACATAGCAGTGGTATTTTTGTTGTCTATTACAGCTCAATGGAGGGACAAACTGATTCAACTCAGGTTCAAGAGGAATTGCGCATGGCTGGAGGTATTTTTGTTGTCTTTTACAGCTCAATGGACACTCAATAAGGCTTCCCATTTTCTTTAACAACAGTCTCAACAATTATAACTCACATGTAAATCAACAACGTCAGTTTTTCCAAGCCTCTACTGGTTCATATTACTTCATATTCTTCTCCATACTACTCATTTTAGCCAAATGTATATATATAGTAAAAATTATGCTTCTCAACCTCTGGAATTAGCAAACCTCAACAAATCATTCCATTTAATGAAAAAATGGATAGAATTAATGAAACCTCAACAAATTAATAAAACCTCAGCTTCCACAATTTCACAAAAATAGCCCACAAAATTCAACAAAAGTAAGGGGTGTGAGAGAGAGAGAGAGATGAAATTTCTAGGTAGTTTGAAGGCTCTTTTTGGATGAATCAAATAAGAAGGGAAGAGAGAGAGAGAGAGAGAGAGAGAGAGAGAGAGATGAAATGAACCTTGTCAAACCTCAACAAATCAACACCAAATTTGTGTTTGTCTCCCGCTGAATCCACTCGACTCACTGCCACCTCTCTGTCTTCGTCTCTCATTGGTTCCACTCGCCTCTTTGTCTTCGTCTTTCGCCGGCTCGCATTCGTCGCCTCTCCCGTTCGATGAACTGTTTAGCTCTGTTTGTCTCTCGCAGAGGGGCTAGGGCTGAACAACCAAAAGGGACTGAAAATAAGATGTGGGGGAAAAAAAAAAAAAATAGTCAAAACAACGTTGTTTTGATGCGCAGCAGGGAGGACCGCAGAAAAGTGCTACCGAGGATCCGGACTCTATAACTCATAACCAAACACACAATTTGAAATTCTATTAAAGGCTCATAAAAATTTTTAAAAAAAATTTGAAAATATTTTTTATTTAAAATATAAAAATAATAGGTGCCAAAAAAAAAAAACATGAACTCTTTTCCGGTCAACCGGCCGGGCATCCGGGGGGATGTCTAGGTAGATGTATTTTTTAAAAGTGGTGTGGAATCAATTTTTGAAAACTCTAACCAAATACCAGACTCAAACCAAAGTCTAGAATCAACTTTTCAAAACCTTACCAAACACAGCCCATATTTTTCTTAAATTTTAGTCAATTTTTAAGTGGGGCCCATGTGCCACAGTTGGCAGGTCCATGTGGCAATGCGTTCTTTGCCGCGTAACCATTCGCATCATATATTTGATTGCTCAAAACCAATATCGGGTGAATGGGAAATCGATACCAAAATGAGCTCTGTGAAAATGGAGTTTTGGTAAAATTTCCATAAAGGATAGAGTTAAGGTTTGTCTCACATTGCTTTGGTGGGCAAACTTTGTGTGGGTTTATAAGCTTTGAGTTTGCATCTTGGGGAGGACCCCAAAGGGTATCCAAGTTTTGTGGAAGAAAGATAGGGGATGGACTTCTAAACCGGATTTCGTGTGACATTGATACAGCACTACAATGTGTATCAAATGTGGATTATGGAAGTGTTTGAATTGATTTGATATAGCACTAAAATGTATATTGTTATCAATTGTGAAGTATAGAAGCGTTTCTATGTGTTATTGATACAACACCAAAATGTGTATCCATCATGAATTTCGAAAGTGTTTTAAAGATGAGTCTAAATCTCATTAAGTTATTTGGCTAGGTTCTAAGCCTTGTTTTCAAACTCAAAGTTGAATAAGAAATGGAAACTGAAGTGTGCCATGGGCATGATTGTGGTGAAACTGTAATACGACATACCTTGGAATACAAGGGTGGACCATCTATTGAATACTATTATTTTAGTCATTGTTTATAGTTGGTTTAGTATATTTCTACTGGGCTGTGGCTCACCCTTTATGGGACATCATTTTCAGGTACAGGTAGCATGCCACCTCCAAGGACATAGCTTGGGAGGCTACAGACAGACAGATTGTTTCTGTTGTTTTGTTTTCTTTTGATGTATTACATGTATATCAAGACAAGGGCTTTCTTTGTATAGAGTTAGTACTCTTTTTTTGTAACCAAGTGTTGACTTGGAAAGTTGTAAGCCCATAGGGCATTTACTTTTGTCATCAACATGTAATACATTTTGTAATGATTACTCTGAGGAAATATATTTATGCTTTATTTTCTTGTGTCTAAGCATGCTATTATTGGATGATTTATGGGTTTTTTTTTTAGGGCGTTATAGGTGAGATTGTGGGCAAAATAGGATAAACCTATTGGATCCAAAACAAACACATACGCATTGCCGTTTGTTTGGGCGAGCTGGGCTGGGCTAGGTTGGGTTGGGCTGGGCTTGGGTGCGTGGTGGCCCCAAGGGGTACCCAAGTTTTGTGAAAATGTGAGGTTGTGGGCAAAATGGGATAAACTTATTGGACCCAAAATAAACACACGTGTATCGTCGTCCGTTTGGATGGGCTGGGCTTGGATGCGTGACATGAGGTTGGATTAGGCTTGTTCAGCCCAATGCTTATCTTTTTGGGCTGAAAACATTTGAAATTTATTTTTTCTATTGGAATTTGAATTTCGATTGAAATTCAAAATAAATTCTGAAATGACCCCAACGTTCAAAAATGTTGGCAGTTTGGTTCAACACAACTTTCCCTCCAACTCGAACAAGTGCTTTACCTGTTCAAATCTAACCCGATTAGGTGCTTTACCTGTTCAAATCCAACCCAAACAGATTCTTTACCTGTTCAAAACTGTACCGAACAGGTTCCATGCCTGTTTAACTTTGTCCTGAATAGCCATTAAGTCTCTTATAAATAGACAAGTCCTCTATTTGCTTTAATTTAAATTTTCGTTCTTCTTTTCTGCTTTTACTTCTTACATTTTGCTGCATAAATTTTCTGTGAGAAAGAGTATAAACACAGAGTGTGTTCGCTGGGCAATTAGTTGGGAGTGCTACTACTAGTTGTCGTTGATTATTTTATCCTGTGAGATAGAGTCCATAATCTGAAAGTATCGTGAAGAGGACGGATCTGTATTAAGGACACAGTGTTCAACACTGGACTTGATCGAATTTTCTGAGAAGATAATACTGTAAGTATTCGGTTTGATTTTCTGTTTTCATTATTTATTTTTTCCAGATTCTGTTTTGTTTTTGTAATAGAATAAAAATATGGTTTTTTCTTATTTTTGTTTCCATACTCTGTATCGATTTTGTAATCAAATAGAATCTCTCATTTCTTAATTTTCTTTCTATGAATATATTGAATATTGTCTAACTAAAATAACATATGATTAAGAGCATTTCCAACGGTTTAGCAAAATTTTCACCAAATCTGAGTAAAAAAAAATTAATTTTCTTGATCTGATACGCGTAGCTCCAATGGTTATGGTTACTGTAGTGTGCATTAAAAAAGGAAAGGGACATCCGGTGGGTCGACCGGTGGGTCGACCGGTTCAAATTTTTTTGAACCGTTTGAACTAGTAATTTGAACCATTTGACCCAGTTCGCAGGCCAATTTTTGAACCATTTTAACCAGTAATTTGAACCATTTGAGCCATTTGAACCAGTTTGCAGGCCATTTTTTGCATGAGCCGGTCGACCGGTTGGTCAATCGGGTGGTTGACCCCGTAGTGTAAAATTTTCACAAATTTCTGCTTTAACGGTTATGCACAGTGAATTAGTGAAAGGAGCAAGCCGTCTTCAGTTTAGTGAAACGTTTGATATTTTCTTAATTTGATACTGTTTTGGTGCAACCGTTGGAACACAAAAAGCAACTTTTTTTCATCAAATTTGAATTTGATGAACAGTTGGAGATGGTCTAAGTGAATTTTTTTAGTCAAATATAGTTATTAATGTAATAACTTGTATATCTATAAAATGAGATTAATTATATTCGTATGATAATTTATTATTGAACAGTAATATCATGTATCAATAGTATTGATTTTTTTTTGGGAAAAATTACAAATTAGTGAACATTTTTCACAAATTTTTTACAAAGTCATAAAAAAAAATTTGTAACTTTAATTATTAAAGTTGTAAAGTTTATCACTGATTTATATTATTATTATTATTATTATTTTTTTATATATTAAAAAAAACAAGCCCTGAAGTGCAATTTTCCCATTTTCTCTCCTTGTGCAGTTAACATTTTTTTTTGGGTGAATACAGTTAACATTAATATTCAAAGTTCAGAGTTTGACTTTAGAGGATCGGCGCTGGATGAGAGAAAAAAAAATTATTTATGAGTAACATACTCTTCTATAAATCTCAATTTCTAACTTAACAAATTAAGAAAACAACACTAGAGTCCTTTCCTCCCTCATTCTTTGCCATGGAAAATGGAGGTGAATACCCACTTCTATCCTCAAGGGACAACGACCATAATAACCCAGTCCATTCATCAAACACAATTTTTTCAAGTTCACCATTTTTAGGTAGTAGCCAAGTCCAAACCTTCTTCAGAGAATTCTATGCCGAGTCGAAGAAGCTCTGGTTCTTAGCCAGTCCAGCCATCTTCACCTCCATTTGCCAGTACTCACTTGGTGCCATTACTCAAGTCTTCGCTGGACAGCTCGGAACTAGCGAACTCGCTGCGGTTTCAGTTGAGAACTCCATTATTGCAGGATTTGCTTATGGCATCATGGTACGGTTTACTTCTGCAAAATTTTGTTGCTCAATATATTTTCTAGGAGATAGTCTCCAGTTCACCACATAGTAGATTGGAATGTACTGCTAGACTTGTAGGATTCATTATAGGTCCTGTTCAATGATTTAAACCGTTCGATGTGTGGAGTTCATTGAATACTATATATCTATAAAAAATTATGTTGATTGGATATCGGTTGTCTCTTGATCGGAACACATTTTTATTAATAATTTATTTTTAAAATCAAAAGACTATCGATATCCGATCAATATGATTTTTTTACAGACATAAAGTACACGACGAATTCTACACATTAAAATATTTGACTAATCGAAACGGTAGCTGTGATGGGTCCACGGGCCGACAGTAGCCATCTCCTATTTTCTCTGTCTGGTTCTATGTTTTGGGAACAAGGCCGGCCCAACTAAAATCTCAATTGGATTTTTTTTATTACTTTAAGTATTAATTTGAATAATATTTTTATTGATTTTTTATATTAGGGAATATTTTATGTAAAGTTTGTTTTCTTCTTTAATTATTGTAACTAAAATTCTAGACTTTAATATTATGGGTGCTTTTGGATACTAATTTTTTTTCAACCTGTTTTTTTCATCAAGATTGTGTTTAAATCCTGATTTGAAAAAGTATTTGAAAAAGACAAAAGAAAGAGTTTGCGTGGAGATTTGGAATTGATAACGGAAAAAGGACGCTCACCTTTTTTTATTTTTTTTATTTTTAAGGTCTTACCTAACTTTATAATTTAAACATAAAATAAATGTGTATTTTAAAAAAATTATAGAGAGCTCCTAAAGTTTAGCCAATTCCCTCCGTAACTTCCAATGTCTTTCTACAAATTGCTCACTTTTATTATCGTTAGGAAGTGATCCCCTGCCTTTAGGTTGAATATTTTAACAATTTTGACCTGGTGCTTTCCTAATGCCCATCAATTTGAATCTCTTCCGTGCCACCTCATGGTCACTAGACCCAAATATTAGAATGTGTTGAAAAAATGGTTAAAAATTAATTTTTTATTTTTGTTTTTATTTTTATTTTTTTTAGGATGAAATGGGTTAAAAATTAAAAAGTGACTTTTAACCCACTTGTCAAAATGCTTCATTATTACTTCGATTAAAATAATTGCTTAGTTGTGTGCTTATTCAATGATGTATTGCCATTTTTTTTATTATTTTTTTAAAATTTTTTATTATTGGTTGGATACACTCTCAACATAAAACGTAAAATTACTCATAAATGGCAGGATACTTTCCCGGCTTAATCAATCTTATGCTTAAAACTTCACCTCCACAATTTCTATGTTCAACCTTGAAATAAATAAAATAAAATTAAAAAAAAAAAAACCACAGGATCATTATTATGTTCTTTTATTTTATTTTTTGTCCAATTAGTTTTCATCGACGAAACTCACTCACTCTCTGAACGCTATTACAGTGGGGCATGGGAAGTGCTCTAGAAACCCTATGTGGGATAGCATTCGGAGCCGGGCAACTCGAAATGCTAGGGATCTACATGCAAAGGTCGTGGCTCATCCTCAACACCACTGCTCTCATGTTAGTATTTGTTTACATCTTCGCAACACATATTTTAAAAATCATCGGCCAAACCGACCAAATATCCGAGGACGCAGGCAAATTCGCGCTGTGGATGATTCCACAGCTCTTCGCCTACGCCATGAACTATCCGCTCGCGAAGTTTCTTCAGGCGCAGGGAAAGTTCATGGCGATGGCGGTGATAGCGGGGTTGGTGTTGGTTTTGCATGCTTTTTTCAGTTGGGTTTTGATGATGAAGTTAGGGTGGGGCCTGGCGGGGGCAGCGGTGGTGCTGAACTCATCATGGTGGTTCATTGTGGTGGCTCAGCTGGTGTATGTTCTATGTGGGGCTTGTGGTGGTGCTTGGAATGGGTTTTCATGGTTGGCTTTCCACAATCTTTGGGGATTTCTTAAGCTGTCTGTTGCTTCTGCCGTAATGCTTGCGTGAGTTTTTCTTTGTTTATTGTTGTGAATTTTGATTTAAGAAATTTTTGAAAATGATGGGTCAAAAGGATTTTTAGAATGATTAATTTTTTATATTAATCTTTTTGGGCAAATTATTCTCATTATCTCTTTAATTTATCTTTGGTATCAATTTATAAAAATCTGCAAACTCGTTACCTATCACATAAGAGCAACACCAACCGCAAATCCTATGTGGCACAACATTTCAATTTTGACATGAAAAATGAAATTCATTCAATATGTCAAATATTGAGTTGGCATTTAGTATCAACTCAACATGTTAAATTTGACATATTTCATGTTGATGTCAAATGTTGAGTTCACCTCAATAAAATAATTTTATTTTTAAAAATAATAAAATAATAAATTTGACTTTTTATGTCAAATTAACATATGTCAACTTGTCACCCAAACCTTCAAAAAAAGTCTGACACACCAAATTTTAAAAGTTTGGATGGAAATGCTCTAAGTGTCATTGGTGGCACTAAATAAATGTTTGTCAATTTGGTTATTATAATTTTATTTGCATCAATTTTACACTTAAATTTTTTACATTATATTATTTATTTTTTTTTTTCAATTGATAACACCTTTTAGAAAATTATATTAAAATCAACACAAACCTTCAAAAAAGTCTGACACACCAAATTTTAAAAGTTTGGATGGAAATGCTCTAAGAGTCATTGGTGGCACTAAATAAATGTTTGTCAATTTGGTTATTATAATTTTATTTGCATCAATTTTACACTTAAATTTTTTACATTATATTATTTATTTTTTTTTTTCAATTGATAACACCTTTTAGAAAATTATATTAAAATCAACAATAACAAAATAGTTCACTCACTCTCATAATTTAAGATTTTTCATTCTCTTTTGAATTGATTATTTTATCTTTTATTTATGTTTAATTTCTTCACTAAGTTAGCAACTAAGGTCTGGACTGTCTTCGATTCAGATCTGGAACAATCCAGTCTAGTTCGGCCCATTGGGTTTACTTTTAGATCTCTTTTCAATAATCAGAATCGTTCATATTTTAAGATTTGTTGAGTACACTATTTTTATAAAAAATCATTTCAATCGGATAACAGATACTATATATTCGGATAATTTTTGTCTGGAAAAAAATAGACAGTAAGAAAATTAACGATTCATAAAAAAATGATCTGAATATATAGTATCCGTTATTCGGTTGACATGATTTTTTATAGGAATAATGTACTCAACAAATTTTAAAATGTGAATGATTCGAATTATAAAAAAATGATCTAAAAGTGAGGCTAATGATCTGCACTGGACCCTCCAGCTCAGATGGTGAACTGGAGGCACGCCATTGCCTATCAACTAAATTATTTTGGCAAAATATAAAAAATTAATATAATTAAAATTACATACACCAAATCAATATAAAGACAAATTACATGACTTACCAGTATAATTTCATTTTAAATTTTTTCGTAAAACTTCTTACATGAACACTCACTATAAATATGAATTTATTAGTATTATTATTATTTTAGATATGATCTATACGTTATGATAAATAAATTTATACTGAAACAAATAATAATAAATAATTCTCTAACAAATATCTCTTAGAAAAAATAAAGTGAACTAATTCAACTCCGAAAGGTTTGATTTGAAACGGGTGACACTTTCCCTAGATTTCCTCACCAAATTTTGACATTTAACACCCTCATAATAGTAACAATGTGGACTGTCACACGTGTTTGGATAGTCACAACCTTCCGTTCATCTTTTCTCTCTACCATACGAATTTGAGGTGGCTTCTGTACGAGATCCACAATAGTTAGGCGTGGCTTGGAATACTCAAAAAAAAAAGTTAAAAAATTATTAAAAAAATTAAAATTATTATTATTTATCAAAAAAATAAAATAAATTTTACACACAAAAACATAAATCAGTCTGACCGGTTCTGATCTGTGGCTGCGTTTTTTTAGAAAAATTGCACAGTTGAGGTGCAATTTTAACACATTGTTGTTCAGCCTATGGGGACTTTATCATGGGTCCCGTTTTGATAATCTGAACCGTTCAATGTGTAGAACACATCGAGTACTATATGTCTAGACAACACCATATTGATCGGATATCGCTAACTGCATGATTAAATCAGTTTTGTATAAAAAAATAGATGGTATTATAGTTAACAATTGAAAAAATACTAATCTGATTAGATAGCTATCGGCATCCGATCAACGTAATTTTTTATAAACATATAGTATTCGATGAGTTCTATACATTGCGCAGTTCAGATTATCAAAATGAGACTCGTGATGATCCCTATGGGCCGAACAACACCGTCCAGTGCAATATCCGAAAAGTAGGCAACTATTTCTTAGCATCAATTCAGTCTGCGCAAACAATACGCCCGTATAACTTACAATTTTAATCTTCTCCTACACACTAATTTATACAATTTTTTAATATACATTTTTTTCATAAAAAGTCAAAAAGTTAACCCAAACAATCATCTTTTTTTTCCTCAACTTTTTAGTTTAAAAAGTCAAAAAATGCACTTATTTAGGACACCCTAAACAACCCCTTATTATTGTGTAGTCAAATGAATTCATTTTTAGATCTATTTCAATAATTTGAACCGTCCACATTTTAGAATATATCAAGTAAAATATACCTGTAAAAAATTAAGTTGATCGGATATTGTTTATCCATTCATCCACTTACATTTGTATTTATAAAAATAAATAACAATTGTGATGTAAAGTATTCAAATGAATATAAATGTGAGTGGATGAAAGGGTAAACGATATCCGAATAACTTGATTTTCTACAGGTATGTTTTACCTGATATATTATAAAATATGAACGATTTTAATTATCGAAATGAACCTTGAAATGAACATATTTAACTACACAACAATAATTACTATACACCCCGCACAATAATCACCCCAAATCCTTCTATCGTACACATTTTCGTGACATGATATTTCTCCCTTCTCCCTCTCTTTTTTGCTAACCCACTCTCTATATATAATAAACAAGTTAATATATGGCACTAACACAAAAGAGAAAATCACAAAAATTGTAATAATTGTTCATTGACACACTACTAGTAGGATCGACAAATCCATTAGAGAGAGGATTTGAGTGACCCCACAAAATACTAAATCAATTAAAGCTAGAAGCCACCTGTATAGTATCATAGAACAGAGCATTCACATGTGAACAGTTTGTAGTGTATAGGTTATTAACATACAAAAAAAATGATTTGAAAATCCAATTTAATTCAATTAAAAATCGATTTTGATTTGAGTAGTATTATCATAATTCATCACACTGTCTAACTCAAATCGTAAATGTCAATCAATTTCGCTTAAATTCCGGCCTTGAAAATCACTAGCTAAACATATATACGAATACATAATGGTAATATAGTAAAGCCAAGGTTGGATTGAGATTAATTTTATAATCCACATTTAACTATTACTTTACAATAATTAGAAAGTCAACAACACTTAATAAATAATATATTAAATCACCACCGGGGTTGGTAGCCACTACAAGAAAACACACCTTTGGCGACTAAATTTTTAGTCGCTAAAAGTCCTTTTTTAGTTGTCAAAAATCGAATTTTCACTTTCCCCAACTAAATATTTTCGTTGCCGATTTTGTTGCGAATACACGGTCGCCAATACCTATGGCACTAAAAAAGTTTTAGTCGGCAATATACATGTCTTCAGCGACCAAAAAATTTGTCGCCAATAGTCAATTTCAATTTTGGAAATTATACATTTAGCGACTAAAGTTTTAATCACCAATAGTGAATTTATTTATTTATTTATACATTTGCCGACTATTTTTTTCGTCGCCAATAGTCAATCTTTTGGCGGCCACAGAGTTTAGTCTCCAAAAGCATATTTAAAAAAAAAAAAAAAAATTACCTTCTGTGCCTGAGACCTCCAGGTTCCAAAGCTTTACAACACACTCCCCCCACTATGCCACTAAACCATCACATGAATGTAATTGCAACATATATTATTTATATATTACTTTGACCGGTATTAATACAAAACTATATATATAAATATAATTATATATATTCAATATAATTTATGTAAAAAATAATTTATTTAGTAAAAAAAAATTTAGATCACTTTTGGCGACTAAATCCATTATTTAGTCGCCAATTCTATAATTTTGGGCTACTAATTAATTTTCCGTCGCTAAAGAAATATGTTCCGCCTAAAAACTACCCCTTTTGGCGACTAAACCTGTTTTTGGTCGTCAAAAACGTCCCCTTTTGGCTACTAAAGTGAATTTTAGTCGCTAATTGACAGTTTTTAGCTACTAATTTTATTTTTAGTTGCCAAAAAGCTTGACTTTCAGCGACCAAGCTGTTTTTAGTCGGCAAAACACATAGAATCGGCGACCCAGCTATTTTTTAGTACTAAATCTTTTTAGTCGCCAAAAACCTTAACCTTTGGCTACTAAAATTTTTTTAGTCGCTAAAACCCCTATATTCGGCGACTAAACTGACTTTTAGTCGCTAAAACCCTTATATTTGGCGACTAAAGTCTTTTAGTCGGCAAAAGTGACCAATTTTGGCGACTAATTCCATTTTAGTCGCCAATTCTACTACTTTCAGCCACAAAAAATCCAATTTTAGTCGCCAAATCTATTTTTTGTTGTAGTGAGCAACGTGGAAAGGTACCTTCCTTCCACACAGGTGAGCAAGGCTCGATTCCTAAGGGGGACAACTAGCATTTTTCTTAATTGGTTGAAACTGATCGCGTTGTACTCTGATTGTGACTCTGCCTCTTGGGAGTTGGTGCATTCTAAGTTTGTCACTGGCAACTAATTACCTCAGACTAAGGCCCACAGATGCTATAATATTTTTCGCAAAGCGTCTCTTTTTCTAGTTCAATATATATAGATACACACTAAACCCAAGTTCAAGCCCAACAACCAATATGGGGAGAGAAATAAATCATCACCACAAAAGATATCAAACTCCTCTACATAGGAATTAAACTCATGACCTCACATCATAAAGGTATTATACAACCATTAGGCCAATGCTCTGATTAATTAAGGTGAACTTTGACAATTGCTTTTTAGTAGTTTTTTATTTCTATATGTATATATATATATATCTATATTTTTTTTAATTTAAAAAAGCTCATGCGTTTTATATTTTATTAAAACAGTTTACATTTCTTTTATGAAGAAAGTTTGAAAGTGTTTTATAAATTATCATATTATCCTTACAGTATTACCGAATATTTGGATCAGTTTATGCGTACTTTGATTAATCTTGGAGTCTTAAAATTAACGATTGGATAAATTTCTTGTGGTCTCAAGATTTGAGATATTTGACTTTTATGAGATTTGACACTACAACTTTTTGAGTGATAAGCCGTTGGTTGCCTCTCTTCCACTAAGCCAAACCCCTTGGGTTATTGTCGAGTCTTTATTAACGTAATCAAAAGGACATGGTGAAATTTCTCAAACTATTGAAGGTAAAATTGTCTTTACACAAATCTAAAATGATTTTCAATTTTTTTTTATATATTATTATTATAAAGAAGCAACATAGTCAAACCAAGCCGACTTTTTTAATTAAAAAGGAACTTATTTTGAGATTATAGAACATCAATATAGGTTTTAACACAATGCATTACAAAAATAAAGAAAACAACAACACTATAACAATAATAGTAACTATAATAGGAACTACAATAACTCACCAAGGATCCTCTAGAGTGAAATTTTCCTAAAGTTTCCTAGAGTACTACATTGTGTGGTTGAGATTTACTGGCAAGTCACATCAGAAAAATTGATGTGACTTCCCAGTAAATCTCAACCACACAATATAGCACTCTAAGAAACTTTAGGAAAAAATCACTCTAGAGGATCCTTGCTCACAATAACTGCATACTCAATTCTTCAGTAATGTTAAAGTCAGTTGAATTTCAATTATTATTTTGAAAATTAATTATTTTAGTTGATTTTTTGGTTTTTTACAAAAATACGTACAGAAAATTAGAAAAAAAAAATTGATTTTTCATGAACTTTGACTTTGACGTCTGAAGAAATTTTGCAGCTTAGAAATGTGGTATACAATGTCTCTTACTCTCTTTGCTGGATATTTAAAGGATACTGAAGTTTCAGTGGATGCATCATCCATATGGTGAGTTCTCTCTCTTTCTTTTCTTTCCTTTTCTTGTTTTTTTTTTTAATCATCAAAAAATGAATTATATTAATGAAATCAGCAACTTTACAAACATGATTACAACAGAAACCAAGGTGTTAAAAGGTGCATCAAAGGTCACATGTTTAAAGTCTAAACATAGAACAATGAAGAATAATAAATTAATTTTATTCACGTACAAAATGAATACAAAATGGAAGATTGTGCTTAATAGTATAACAAAATATGCTAGTTTCTAACACTATTTCTACTCTATCTATTTAATCCAAATATGGCGTCTCTTTTTCACATTTGGCTTATTTATACGAGCGGTTTTGACTTTTCTAGGACACAAAGCGAGTCCTAAATGAATGAATAATTATTTTTAGATAAGTTTAGAATTTTGAATAATTTTACTTTAATTATATTGTTGGGTAATGAATGATTTTGATGATTTAATATAGAATTTTGAAAAATGTACTTGCATTAGTTTATGATTTTATTTAAAAGTTTAGGATTTTGAATGATTTGCTTGTGTTAGAAATTAATTTTGTTGTGTTTTTAATTTTATCTATTTTAATTCATTAATTATTAATGTTGAGCATTTTGGAAAATTGGGAGAAAATAGCCCAAAATAAATATATACAAAACGAAAAAAAAGGTCCAAAAATAAATTTTTAAAGAAAAAAGTTCAATCCGCAAACCGTCTGCAACCGCCCGCACATCCACAAACTCTATCCGTACAAACCGCAACCCGCACTGCGGGCGGTTGTGGGTTCAATCCTTCCCAAACCGTACATATGTGGGCGGGCCCAAACCGTTAACCAAATCATCCAAAGCCGAACCTCGAGCACTCCTACCTTTTATATATACTTTTAAGAAAAAAAAAGTTTATAATCCAAAGATTATGTATCAAATTTTGTTTAAATTGTTGCATTTAACAGTGTTTACAAAAAGGTTATTAAAATTTATTTAAGTAACAAAGTTTACAATAACAAAAACGATCAAAATATACGTTAGAGTACCAAATAAACTAAGTCTTTTATTTCTTATTTCTTTTTTCTTTTTTATGTTCAGAACTATATATTTTTTGGGAATTTACCTGTTTGATATAGTTTATAAAAATTATTAACATCATCAATCTTAATCCTCAATCATTACAAATCAAATAATCAATTAAAGGAAATATAAAATAATAGTCATGTAATTATAATAGATAAAAGAAATATATATATATATATATATATGTATTTAATCATGATCAAATAAATATTTAATTAAGCAAAAATAAGAACCCATCTCCACTACAGAGTCTGTAACTTGAAACTCCATTTTTATATTACAAAATTGAGACTTTCATCATAGTTCAGCAAATGGAAAAAAAAAAAAAAATGCAATTCAAAAAAAGCTAAGAAATAGTTTCTCAATTAGTTTAAAAAATATATATATATTTAGATGAATACTTCCATCAAAAAAATAAAAAATAGAGAGGGAAAGAAAGTACTAGGTCTTTGAAACCCCAAATCTTCTGTTTTTCAGTTCTTATTGCCAGCTTAAAGCTTTGATTTTGGGTTTGTTTGGCAAGAAGAGTTTGGGGCTTTTTTGGTTATTTTAGCTACAAAAGACAAAATAGGCTATTTTAGCCACGAAAAACAAAACATCACATCCAACCCATAATCATTACACTCTTCTCTCACAAAAAAAGTCAAAAAAGCTAAAAAGCTAAAAGTCCTTCCCAAACCAAGCTTTTTAGCCCGGCTAAAATAGTCAAAAAAATCAAAAAGCTAAAAAGTCAACCCACTTCCCAAACAGAGGCTTTATTATATTTGCAATCATACTTCAAATATATTTAAAATATAAATTGAGGCCTCAAAAGTTTGGGCCTTTCTATTTAGATTTGACCTCTTCAAAGACAGTTCAAATTTTCTAATTGAAGTGGGCTTATCTTTCTAATGTAAGTGGGCCTTTTATTTTTTGAATCAGTACAATAGTTAATATAGTTTTGGGGCCTGTTTTTGGATATTTTTGAGGGTCCAAAACAGTTGCTTTATGGGCTTTGCCCCAAAACCGGCGGCCCTATATTACCCAATTTTTACGTCCTTTAGAACTTGTCACTTTGGGACTGTTTGTTACAACGTTTTTGGGTGATTATAGTTTATTTTGACTGGGGAGTTTGTACCAGATTGTTTGGTGCAGCTTTTTCTTATAACTTATTAGGCAGAAATAGCTTAAATAAACTGAAAAAAGCTGATTACTTAAAAGTTGGAATAGGAATGCTTTTAACTTTTACTTTTTGATTATCAGCTTTTAATTTTTGTCTTTATATCTAATAACTTTCTATGCAGAGTCATGCCCCATGTCCACTAAATCGACGATAAAGTGAAAATGTTCAAAGAAAAATCACATTTTGTCAACCCACCTTGGTTATCTTTGGTGAAATTGCTAGTACTTCAATTTTGTAATATTGCTGTTGTTCTTAATGATGTTTTATGTAATCTTGAATTTCTTTGCAGTGTGAACATTCTGGGCTGGACAACAATGGTAGGCTTTGGATTCAATGCAGCCATAAGGTTTGAAGTAGAAACACCCCTTCAAAAATCTTAGGTTAAAAAATCTACCAAAATATTTATGAACAACTTAAAAATAAAAAAATAAAAATTTTAAAACCAAAAATTTAACTTGTCAATTGACATGGAAATGTGCAGCGTAAGGGTATCGAATGAACTTGGGGCAGCACACCCGACAGCTGCAAAATTCTCAGCCATGGTGGTCGCAGTAACTTCATTTCTAATAGGTCTCTTCCTTGCCCTCATTCTCATCATTGGCGGAAAGGAATACCCGTCCTTCTTCTCAAACGATGCAGCGGTCAAAGAGCTCGTATATGAGCTCACACCATTGCTAGGACTTGCTATTGTTGTTTACAGTGTTCAACTTGCTCTCGCTGGTATTTCTTGATTATGACTCTCTAATGTTGCTTCTACTTATAGTTAATTTTATTTGTTGATTCTACATATCTACAAGCACTTGGCTTCTCTCCTTTCACTGGACCGTCCAGGACAATGACTTGTGATATCAAAAAGGGTGATTGGACCATCTAATGATCGAAGAAAAGCCCAACCTTATGTAAAATTATGCTTTATTTTCTTGGATTAGAATTGTTTCCAATCCACTTCAGTGTGAACTCGACTGTGCAGCCCAACCCATGAGTCCCATTACAATTATCACTTCTGTCATCTAAATTATTCATTTTGTAGATCCATGCAAAAATCAAACTAATTCGATAAATTATCCATTTTTTTTAAGACAAAGCAATTAACATTGTTGACTACAATTATCATAATATCACCTTTGATTTTTTTTCACGAATAATTCACATAGAATGACTTATAAATGAAACAACTCAGATCGTTAAAATGGGATACATGATAGGTTCACGGGCTAAACTGCATAGTCCAATCCACTGATCATTGAGTGATGATATTGACGCAGGGGTGGCCATTGGAGCAGGTTGGCAAGCTTACATAGCATATGTGAACTTAGGGTGCTACTATTTGTTTGGCATTCCTCTAAGTCTGCTAATGGGTTTCAAGTTCAACATGGGTATCAAGGTATACTCTCATTGTCCTGTTGAAACATTTTGATTGATATAGTTGGAATAGTTAGACTAATGCTATTGTTAGACAACTTGTTTTTGAAAACAAAATTTTAAATTACACAAACAAGTATTTCTATGCAATGATCAATTATGCAATCAAAGTCCATCTAACATTGTATTTGGTTGGTATGTTTGTTCATAAATTTGTTAAGGTATTTGTTTGCTGCCATGATTGATATGCAGGGGATTTGGTGGGGAGTGATATCTGGAACAGTCTTAGAAGCCTGTGTTGTGCTGTGGATTATAAATAGAACAAATTGGAACAATGAGGTAACTACTCCCATAAACTTCCTTCAAAAAGATGCACCTTCTATTAGGTTGCAATGCAACTCGGTCGGATTCAGTCAAATGGGTTAAGCATCTATCCAGGCTCAGAGTTGTTTTTGCCCAAATCCGAACCTAAGTTTAATTCAGACTTGGCCCAGGTTGCACAAATTCAAATGTATTGCTTTTTTTGACCCCCCCCCCCCAAAAAAAAAAATCTAAAAAATTGTAAACACAAACCATAATTAGAAAATTAGTTTTGAGTCGTGTATCAAACAAAATTAGTTTGCATTATAATTTAATCCAAACATGATAAAATAATCTATAATTTATAATATTTCATATTTATTATATATAATTTATATTTATTAACAATGAATTTCAGGTTGTCAAAATTACTGCCCAAACCCAGTCTAAATTCGATTCAAGCTGACAAATTTTAATTCAGACGTTGAACAAATTTAAAATTATACAATCCAAGTCCTAAAATTTTTTGAGCTAGACTCTAGTTCTTCGGGTTAGACCTGTTTAACTTGCAGCCCTAATATTAGATGAATGATCTATTGAAATAAGTCTTTGATCTGGTGAAAAATGCAGGCTTCTGTTACTGGCGACAAATTAAAACAATGGGGAGGGGAAACAGATGACAGAGAAATTTGATTTGCAAAAATGGATTGGTTCCACAAAGCACATGGAAAACAAGTGACAATCTGTGGAAAACCCAAAATATTAGGCATATTAGTTTGTAAATTTATTTATTTTTTAAGTAGTTTGTAACTTGGGTAATGCACCAATAAATTCTAGATTGTGGACTTATGCACTAATTGGTCCTAAAAGATTTCTTATAGACGGGGAGGTCCTATTATATACAAAATTACCAATAAGGACAAACGGATTGTAGGGCTGCGTTACAAAGGGATGGACAGTAATGTTATTTTACAATTGACGAAATTACGAAATTGGGTAGCATTCATTCCCTTTCTGGTCAGTGTTGAAGCTGTTAGGATCAAACATACCCAAAAAAATTATCTCACACACACAGAGAAGACAATATTTACGTGGTTCGACCCAATGCCTACATCTACGGACAGAAATGAGAATTTTTCACTAAAATACAAAACAGAGGAGGAGAACAACTCTTCTCACTCAACTCATAGCTCTTTCTCTCAAATTTCTAATACAACACATCCTCTCCCTCCCGTCTCTATTTATACACAAGGATGAGAAAGAGAGAAGGACAAATCCACCAAGACTTCCACCAAGTGGAAGTCAGAAATGGCAAGAGGAAGCTCATTCTTTTTTCATTTTTCGTGGAGCTGATCACTTGCTCCTTGACTTAAGCCAGCCTTCATTGTTGGACTATCTAGAAAAAGAAATAAGGATCACCCCTTTCACATGGGGTAACCTTCAACAATCACCCCCTCAGCCCATGTGAGGTGATCCGCAACAAAACCTGTTGCCAAGGTATCAGGCACCCCTTGATTGGATGCCCTGCACCCCCTGCTCGGGATATCCTGCATTACCGTGCAACTCCTTGCATGATGAACACGGGAGCAACTAGAAAACTTCAGAGTTTGACACATCAACATCCTCAATTTCCCTTGCTCGGAGCTTATTTCTGAACAACCAACTTTTGCTTTCTGCACTTCAAACCAACTTCCCAGCGATCTCATACGCCTGTTGTCTGCGCTGTAATCCCTGATGTTCGGTTCTGTCTCACTTGTACGTTCGTACTGATGTTTGACGGTTAGCCCTTCTGCCAAGACAGCTTCCACTAGTCTGTACAAGCTACCACTATGCAACTTTGTGCATAGTGCTCGCACCCCTTTACTGGGGTGCCGTGCAAAGCTCACTTTGTAACTCGAGATTGCATCCCCCCCTTCCATGCATCTTTTGAGAGGTTGCAAAATGTCTCTAACGCAGGAGCAAAAGAAACTCTCTTCTTCATTGGCACAGTCTCTATCGACTTGGTTTCTTTGCTCTGAACTTCCTTCAAGATTGGCTTCACTGGCTCAGATCTGTGCACCTTTGAACTGCCTCCTTGCGTTTCCGTGCACCTTTTTTGCCATTCCTGATGAAAGCCTTGCTTAGTCATACGCTTTGGTTGCGTATGTTCTCTCTTTGTACCCTTCGACTGGCGTTTGACAACACTCATCTTTGTCAAAACTTCTCTTTCCAGTCTGTACAATTTGTTGCATAACTTGCCTTGCAACATTTCTCTATCGCCTCTGTGTACATGAAGAACCCCCGTTACTAGATGAGAAACAATTTCCTTTTAGATCTAGCATACTTAGGGAGATTAGATTCCTTTGTACTCCTGGCACATGTCGGACCTAAGATAAAACCACTTTTTTTTCCATCCTTAGTAAGGAATTGCACTGTCCCTATGTCGACAACTCTGTTCACTGTGTTATTGGCTATCCAGATAATGCTACCGCTGACTCTTTGGTAAGTGGAGAAAGCTTCCTATTCGTACATATGTGGAACATACACCCTGAATCCAAAATCCAGCCGGGTGTCTTCATCTCTGATGAGACTATAAACATCACATCTTCATCATCAGGGGAATTCATTACAACTGCTGTAGTTGAGGGACCTCCGTGTCCCTTGGCCTTCTCTTTGGCTTGTCTGTTCGCCTTTTTCTTTGGGTAGTCTCTTATTACGTGATTCTCTTGATCACAGTAAAAGCACTTCCTCGTGTTGCCCTGTCTGGACTGTGAATGAGCTCTGCTTTTACTTCTTCCTCTACCTTTGCCCCTTTCTCTATCTCTGCCTCTACTTTCTGTGACAAGGGCCTGGGATTGCTGTCCTCCTATCTCTCTCTTCCTTGCCTCCTCGTTGAAGAAGGCGTCTATGACCATCCCCATGGTTAGCTTCCCTACGGGTACAGAATTACTGAAAGAAACCACCAACGTCTCCTAACTGTCTGGTAAGGAATTGAGTAATAATAATGCTTGCATCTCATCCTCCAACTCCATTTTGACTGATACAAGCTAGTTCACAAGGCTGTGGAATTCACTGGTGTGTTCAGCAACAGACACACCACTCTTCAGTTTCAGGTTTATAAGCCTTCTCATTATCAAGGCTTTGTTTCGTGCGGTCTTAGACTGGTACATGCCCTCCAATTTCATCCATATGGCATAGGCGTCCGTCTCTTAGGCGACATGGTGGAACACACTGTGGTCAATCCATTGTCTGATTTGATCGACAGTCTTCTGGTTGGCTTTTATCCAGTCCTCATCTTTGTCTCAATTTGGTTTGACTCCCTTTAGCGTTATAGGGTCAAACAAATCTCTATAATACAGGATGTCTTCCATCCACGGCTTCCATATCGCATAATTGGAAGCATTCAACCGAATCATCGGCCCTGAAACTGATGTGGATTTCTCCATCATACAGAAAGTGATCTCTGTCTGAAAATAGGCTTCGCTGTGGAGTCCGGATTGGTCAAATTAGCTGAAAAACACTTCGGATTGCCAAAATAATGACTGTAAATTTTTGAAATCTAATTTGCAAAATTTGACTGTGCGGATGTGTCCGAAATATTCCAAATAGTTGGAAAACACTATTGGATCACCCAAATCGGACCTCAAATGGTTTAGATCAAGCCAAAACAAGTTGAACGGTTCAGATTGGTGAATTCTGGTGCAGCTTAGAAGCACCGGATAATTTCTCTTAATGGGTTGACGTTAGTAGCTCGGCTTGGTCAGCGACCTGGTCAGCGGCTCTAGTCAACAGCTGGGTCAACACGGTTTAGACGACTCGGTTGGAGGCTCGGCGTCGGCTGGCGGCTCGACTTGGATAACTTTAGCGGATGACGTTGTCTGGTGCGCGCACGTGTGGCGCGTGCCTGCACATGAAATCACTCGTGAAATCACGCGTCTTCTTCTTCTAGAAGCGCGTGCAGCGCGTGTGAGGGTGGGCATGCATGAGAACGGCGTCACAGAGCGCGTGCGGCGTGTGAGGGGCTGTCCGATCTCCTTTTTCGATGCGGTTTTCACCACTGTGCTCGACTCTTCGAGGGCTTCAACGTCGTCTGATCAAAAGTGGATTTCGACCACTTTGATTTTTAGGCATTTTTTGAACACACACCCTATTTTGCTGAAAATGCACAAAACCCGCTTTGATACCACTTTGTTAGGATCAAACACACCCAGAAAAATTATCTCACACACACAGAGAAGACAATATTTACGTGGTTCGGCCCAAAGCCTACACCTACGGACAGAAATGGGAATTTTTCACTAAATTACAAAACAGAGAAGGAGAACAACTCTTCTCACTCAACTCACAGCTCTCTCTCTCAAATTTCTTATACAATACATCCTCTCCCTCCCGTCCTTATTTATACACTGAGGGGCTGTCCGATCTCCTTTTTCGATGTGGTTTTCACCGCTGTGCTCGACTCTTCGAGGGCTTCAACGTCGTCTGATCAAAAGTGGATTTTGACCACTTTGATTTTTAGGCATTTTTTGAACACACACCCTGTTTTGCTGAAAATGCACAAAACCCGCTTTAATACCACTTTGTTAGGATCAAACACACCCAGAAAAATTATCTCACACACACAGAGAAGACAATATTTACGTGGTTCGGCCCAAAGCCTACACCTACGGACAGAAATGAGAATTTTTCACTAAATTACAAAACAGAGAAGGAGAACAACTCTTCTCACTCAACTCACAGCTCTCTCTCTCAAATTTCTGATACAATACATCCTCTCCCTCCCATCCCTATTTATACACAAGCATGAGAAAGTGAGAAGGACAAACCCACTAAGACTTCCACCAGGTGGAAGTTAGAAATGGCCAGAGGAAGCTCATTCTTTCTTCATTTTTGGTGGAGCTGATCACCTGCTTCTTGACTTGAGCCAGCCTTTATTGTTGGACTATCTAGAAGAAGAAATGAGGATCACCTCTTTCACATGGGGTGACCTCCAATAGCAGCTGTGGAAATGGAAAGATTCTGGTAATCAACGTTAATAGTTTGAACGTTGGGTTTTTGGTAATGGAAATTGTAGTGTGACATTTACGTCCCCAAAAATGAAGGAAGTAAACCCTAGTCATAGATGTGGGAAACCCTAAAACGTTATTTGGTGCCTTTGATTTGGTAGTTGTGTATAGGATTTGCGAAGTGAAGGGTTAATCGAACGGCACATGGTGAACGGCATTTGCAATATCCTATTTTGGTGCGAAAATTTTTCGTGAAAGTGTGTGAAGTTGGGACAACGTAACATGGTGAAGAATCAATCAGGTATCTATTTTGTGATGTTGTTTGCGTTTGCAAATTGAAATGTTTCACTATTATATTTGTTACTCTGTTTTGCGGAATGGTTTGATGTTTGTGTAGTTTGATTTGTAATGTTGTTTGATGTGGACAAAGTGTGTACACCGAAATGAATTGAATGTTGAAAATGAAATAGTAGTTGGCATTTTATGGGTGTGGGAATGTTGATCTATCTTATGTTGGTGTTGCGAAGTTTAACACGTGTCGTGGTGTGTGTGCTTTTTTGTGAATTTTGGAATGGTGGTTGTGGGGGGTAATGTTATGTTCATTGTTATGTATGTATGTGTATTGACATTAGGTATTTGGGTACATCAGTAATGTTATGTTCATTGTTATGTGTATGTGTGATTTAGTTGTTAAATGTGTTGGCTTGGGTTC